TGCCAGATTTGACTGGGCGATGCAACCCGATATCCCCGTCGTCAAGATGACGCGCCCCGGCGGCGCCATCCACTAGACAAAAACCATCCCGGGGGGAGGTTCTCGACTCTCGGCACTTGAGAGATGTCAACTTGGAAGTCCGGTCGATTCTGATGATCGACCCACCAGCAGTGGCCTGCGCGTCCCAACAGTTCAACCCGCTGAGCTCCCGGCTCAACAACTCGGCCGGCGAGAACCCCCTAAGTTGGGGAAGCAAGGCTACTTTCTGTCGTGTTCAGTGTCAAGTTCATTTTGAATGAAATTGGTGATAGTAGCATGTTGGGCATCTCTATTGAGAGCCTCTAGCATGACGCTAACAGCATGGATGCCCATGGTCGAACCCATTCGTTCAACCGCATCCCATTCGAAATCGCTCAAATGGGAGTAGCCGTCACGCGTAGTGTGAAAGCTTTGGTCATCTTCATCATCCAACATATTCATGTTAGATGTGAACGTGGTCCTTGGACGGACTACGAAGTGCTACCAGGTGTAACGGGGTTACTCTGAAGCTTGTACTGGTGACAGTACAAGCTACTTATTCTGGTGACAGAATGAGGCGGTGCCGCGTAACTTCACGTACACTCGTACGTGCAGAGGAAGACGGTAAGGAGAAGCGAGTACTTGGTTAAAGTAAAAGTAGAACTGTATTTATAATAGTTAATGTCCGCAATAAATCACTATTTATCTTCACCTAACTATGTCTAAATACAAATGTGTAAATCAGCTATCTGCTCACCACTCATTGCGTGCGTCTGTCGTGGCGCGTCTTCGTTGGTTGATATAATGGCCTATATCAACCAATTAGGAACTACTCGTAAGTGCTACTGAATATTTATATTTAGGATCAATATTCTGAGAATATAACTCTTATAGTTATATTCTATTAACAATTTCTTATAAATTGTTATGTAACGATTCACCCTGTTACAATTTTAATAGCTTAACCATATTAAATGCAGTTCTCTTTTACCTTTTACTCCATCTAGCTGTTTGAGTAAATTAGCTTCCTGTGCACGTACTAGCGTACGTGAAGTACGTAGCACTCCAAACGAAGGGTGCCTGTTACAACTCATCTTCGCCAATGACCTGATTATCTCAAGATCATGAGCCGATGATATACAGCCAAAATGTATCTTGGGTGTCACAGAACTACTAACGTAGGCGGGATTTCGAATAATTAACTTTCCTCGAGTTATTTCGCTGCCTTGGCGCACTTTAGTGAGTAAGATAGGAGAGCAAGCTCTGGAGCTCGCCCTTAGATGTAAGTAATACAGTTCGTAGATCTCAATCAAGTGGCAAAACATTATACTACACCACTCACCGAAGAATGCGTACGATGCTGTTAATGTATGTAGTAACCTAGTACAGTGTACTCGAGCAACGTGATCAGCCTGTGCTTATGAGCGTCCAGCAATTGATTTTGTGACCACATGCACTTTTGATCGATCTTAAGCCATTGGCAAGCGTGCGCTGCAATGGTGACCTAGCCAAAGGGTGACCTTGGATACGCATATATGCTCATGACCATATTCACCTTTTGATCGATTACAAATCAATCACATGCGTGCATCACAATGTTGACCCAGCCAAAGAGTGACTTCGTATGTGCCAACATACCTATGAGAGGCCACAAACTAGATCGCACTTAATGCGTGAAAAGTACACCTAACCGCGTTATGATAGACACACACACACAGATAAGTACAATGTAAAAAGCCTCCGTATTCACCTTGCGCATAGTCACTAATAGCTTTTACGCTTCGGGTTCGCAATCATATTTGACCTTCGCTTGGTGTTCCTCCGGGTGGAGTTGGCAAGCGCCGATGTAGTACTCCATTGTGCATCTCTATCGATGCAAAGTGGGGAAAATACAGCCAAGCCCCTCAGCCAGATGGAAACGATTACTACTAGCTGCATGGTGGGTGCAAATTTGCACCAGACACCTAACCACTCACATGCGACAATGATGTATATCCTCTGGACAACATGGCAATTGACCTTAACAAAGGTCCTATCTCCGCCCTTCAATAAATCAGCGAAGGGTCTTCTTAGTCCACAACAGATCAAAACAACTTTCAAAGTGACGAGTTTGTCAACCACTATTGTTTTACGGTACGAAACAGTTAGGTTAAGTATAGAGTTGAAAGCTACGTTGTCGTTGCGCTTGAAGCAAGTTTACTGGCTTTTAGGCTGTATACAAATGTGTAAATCAGTTATCTGCTCACCACTCATTGCATGCGTCTGTCGTGGCGCGTCTTCGTTGGTTGATATAATGGCCTATATCAACCAATTAGGAACTACTTGGAAGTGCTACAGAATATTGTCCTTATGACAATATTCTGAGAATATAACTCTTATAGTTATATTCTATTAACAATTTCTTATAAATTGTTATGTAACGATTCACCCCGTTACATCACCCCCTTAACCATCAGTCACTTTAGTGACTGATTGACTAAATGGATACTCGTCCCAAATCATTTGGGACGGGGTTTGCACTTGTTGGTCCGCGTCCACTTTCCAACATCTCATCGCATGGTAAACAAGCCCATGCGATGCGCGAGCAAGGCCGCCGAGAGCGCGTCTGCACGTCTCTGTGCGGACGCCGAAGCAGAAACTACAGCAACTGATGTCCCATCGGTTGCTGAATCGACTCAGCCTGTATCACCTGGTGATGCAGGCGCTGGTCATGAAGACACTCGTGTCTTCTGAGAATGCAAACTCAGTGAATCATGCTCTCCTGATACAGATGACGGATCCGTATCGACGGCTTAGTGAATTCAAGCCGCCTGCAATGCGGCAGCCATGGACGATGCTTTGCGTCGCAGCATCTTTGGTTCATCCTGATGAGTCAGATGAACCATCGCCAAACGAAGGCGCTCGAGGTCGAAGACTCGGGCGCTAATAAATGTGTCGTTTCTCCAATGGACACCACTTCACAGCGAATTGCCAGTATCCTGTCGGCGTCGCAGGAAGAGCAGGACCGCAATGTGTTGCCGTCTCGCTCCCAGAAAAGAAGGCATGGATGCCTCCTAAATCTGTCATTGGATCACTTGTCGGCGGCGACGAGTGATCGTTATCGAGAACACGATTGTTCAATTCGTCGAGGATTCATCACCTTGGCCCCAGCGCGAAAGACTATCGCGCTGAACATGGGTTCTTCATCGATGCTTTCTTCAGACATCGATGGTACGATGGGAATCACAAACGTGATGGTCCTCACTACTTCAGGCGTGGAACGCCTACATCCTCAATCTCGAGGATGTTGGTCTTAACGCTTGGTTAACGACAAACTTATCAAAGCTCGCATAAGCTTTGAAAAAGCGAACCCCGACAGGGCACGCTATAAGCTGCATCGTCTGTCAAGGGAGAAAGGATTACCCTAGCCTCTCTTGGGGAGACTCGTGCCCATGTTGTGTGAACAACTCTGCACGAAGCACCATGAGGCTTACCTCCTTACCAGCCCGTGGTGGCGCGTACGTGTCTCTACTGAGATGTACGAAGGGATTGACAACCTGAAATCCCTTTTACGACCGTGCCGGGAAGACTTTCTCCGGCGGTCCTTCTGCGGCACAGGATGTGTCGCGTCGTACTGCTCGACCAGACCCAGTACGTCAACCATCAATTGGGAGCGGGGCTCCCAAGAATCCCAGGACGGGGATAGCCGCGCCACCGGACGAGGTAACTCGTCCGACGTCCGTTCACGTCGCGGTGGTTCAACAGCTGCTCTACTAGATAGCGCTGGCCACCGCGAGAGTCCTCTAATGGAGGTGGAGGAGGAGGAAAGACGCTCTCCACACGATCATGTGGATCGGTGTGTTCCCGAGAGCTTCTTTGATCGCGTAACGCAAGGGTTACGCGACGATCTCGAGCATGAGCGGAATAGGCGTCTCCAGATGGTGGACACTGCCTCGAAGCATCGAGCTGAGTTTGCCTTTGCTCAGCTTGAGAACGAGAGATCTCTGACATCTCTTCGTGACGAGCTAAGGGTAGCTCGTGGGATTGTTGATCGGTCTCGGGCTGAGATAACTGCTCTTCAGACCCTTGTTGATGCCCACCATCGGGAGCACAAGGCTCTCTGCGAGATGCTTGAGCGCAAGGGCGTTCTTCATCGGAAGAAGCAGCGTACTGATGGTACGGCTTAAGCCGACCAACGTAAAACGTGGGATGCGTTCGCATCTTACGTGGTAACTCGATCGTGTATGCATTGCCTAGGCGGTGCAATACACGAAATGGGCCAATGTACTTGGGTAGTAGTTTACTGCTACTCAAGTTAGTCACTACATGCTTTGGTAGATTAACCGTAGACAGTAGGACTAAGTCACCTTTATTAAATAAAAGATTGTTTGCCCTTCCATTCTTGTCAGCGTTTTGCTTTTGCTTATCCACCGCTTCGGCGATGGAGTCTTGCACAAAACGGACTACCGTTTCACGAGCCAGTATGAACTCATCTGATGACTCGTTAGCTTCAGTGTGCTGTGAGCGCACTGCAGCGACAACAACCTTTTCTTCAGTGAGGGCTTCCGCACTCTCACTGGGATCATTGTCTTCAGTGAGGGCTTCCGCACTCTCACTGGCATCATCTTCTTCGATATCGATGTTATCGATATCGGCATCAAACGCAATGACTTCTTCGTCAGAGCGTGATGAGCGTGAACCAAATCGGTTTTTGCTCGCGCGAGTCCCTCCCCCTTAAACCAGAGTTACACTCTAGTAAGGTGGGTACACGCGGATGGCGCAAGCCATTCACGTAAAACGGTGTATGTGTCGTGGACGCATGCACCGAGTTGTTGATGGCAAACTCTACCATCGGCAAAAACTCACTCCAACTCTTAAAGGAGTGTACGTATCCTCGAAGTATCTCTTCAAGGACACGATTGGCACGTTCCGTCTGACCATCTGACTCTGGATGATCAGATGTTGACATCTTCAAGCGCGTTCCGAGTGATTTGAACACGGAACGCCAGAAATCAGCAGTGAATCGTGGATCTCTGTCTGATACGAGTTCACGGGGCAACCCATGAAGTCGGAAGATGGTGTCAATAAAGACACAAGCACAGCCACTTGCCGTGATTGTCTCTGGTACAGCCACAAGGTGTACCATTTTGCTGAATCTGTCAACAAATACGAGAATACCCGTATTCCCGCGTGCGTCTTTGGGTAACCCGAAGACGAAATCCATTGAGATGGATTCCCAGCACTCAGCCGGAACCGGTAGAGGCTGTAAAGGTGCACGCAGTGAAGGACTTGACTTCACTCGTTGGCAGACTTCGCATGCGCGAACATACTTTCGCACAAACTGATACTGGCGGGGCCAGTAAAAGTCTCGACTTACCGTGAGATATGTTTTCTCTCGGCCACGATGTCCTCCTATAGGAGCATCGTGATACTCGAACATGATCCGCAAACGCAGATCAGTATCATCTGGAATGACAACACGTGGTGTGTCACCAGAAACGGCTGTATAGTACAGTAAACCGTTACGAGTAGTGTATCGATCTGATGCAGATCGATACGCAGACGACAATCGTTTCAACGATTCTCGAGATGGTTGGGAGAGATGTGACAACAACTTCACTATCTCACCATCTTGGGCGTATGCCCGCCTCACATCATCATACAACGTTGTAGATGGAACTGAGGACGTCATAACCGCAACAGTGACTGTCTCACTGTTGGTTTTCGCGACTGTTTCAAAGTCGGGACGACGTGAGAGTGCATCAGCGACGACATTAAGTCGTCCTGGTTTGTACTCGACCGTAAAGTTGTATTCCGCAAAGAATGACAACCACCGCGCCATTCGTTGTGAAAGGTGCGGGCTGTTCACTGCCGTGCGTAATGACGCATGGTCAGTGTAAACAACGAAGGGTCTATCTCCTAATAGATAGACTCTGAACTTCGCGAGTGCATACTTCATGGCAAGGAGTTCCTTGTCATGCACTGGATAGTTCCGCTCAGCTGGTTGCAGCTGACGCGACTGATAGCAGACGACGCGTTCAACGCCTTCAAGGTCGTACTGCATTAATGCACAGCCGATTGCGAAATCGCTGGCATCACAGACCACATGAAATGGCCTGTCCTGATCGGCTATTGCTAGGACTGGGGATTGTATCAAGCTCTGCTTGATACCCTCAAAGGAGCGTTGACATTCAGCGTTCCATAACCACCTCTCGTTCTTTTTCAACAAACGAGAGAGGTGTACAGTCATCTCGGCGTAATTGCGTGAATACTTATGCAAATACGCCGCTAGCCCAAGGAATTTTCGAAGACCTTTGACATCGACCGGCACGGGCCAGTCGGTGATCGCCTTGATCTTTTCGGGATCAGGACGCACACCGTTCTTACCACCGATGCACCCAAGAGGTGGTATTTCGCTTGCTGCAAATATACACTTCTTGAGGTTTGCATACAATTGATGCTTTCGCATGATTGTAAGAACTTGTCGGACGTGGTACTTGTGAACCTCAACGTCCGACTTTCCATCCATAGCTCGACTATGGATGAATACGTCATCGGCGCGAATTCTCGTACTGGCCTCAACAGATGTGATACACACCTGTTGAACGTGGCAGGGGCATTACTGAGCCCTTGTGGCATTACTAGCCATTCCCAGAGCTTGCAGCTAGGCGTGCTAACTGCGGTATAGGGTATATCCCGTTCCCGCATTAGGATTTGATAGAAGCCATCCATCAAATCCATGGACGAAAAGATGGTACTCTTTGACATACCATCAATGATTACGTCCTTCCTCGGTATCGGCGTCTGAGCCGGTACCGTTGCAGCATTCAACTTGTTAAATGCATGCACAATCCGCCACCCTCCTGTTGCTTTTCGCACACAGAAGGTCGGAGAGCTACGTGGGGAAGTTGATTCCCTCACATGGCCCGCAGCTAAACGATCAGCAAAGAACTTGTCGATCGCAAGTACTTGTTCACGAGGCAGTGGCCACTGCTTCATGACACAGTACTTCGAGCCTGGTTTAAGCTCGACCTCGTGTCGAATACCTTTATCCTTCGGTAATTCGCACGGAACAGTTTCAGGGAATACATCCTTGAATTCAACCAAATCTTCATAGAGAGGATTTTTCTTGAGCGATTCCCACGATTGCGAGTCATATCGCTCAATTCGTGTCTTTTCATCTAGGACATTCTCGTCCATAGATGAACTACTGAGAACTCTTTCGTTCTCAGTAAACACTGTTGCTGACCTTATGTCGGTTACATACTCGTCGTCAGCGACGAGTATGATGATCTGCTTGACTTTGCCACTACGCAGATCACGCAAGAACCTTTTATGTTCGAGCGTTGGCAACTGAGTGATCTCCGAAGTTAACTTCGGAGGCGCAATCAGATCAAGTGTATAAGCGCCTACACATGATCCGTTATTGAATATGACATTCAATGTCTCTGTCATTTCCTGGGGACTTATTCCCTCAGGCTTCGAAGGACTTATTCCTTCGGCTTCCCGGGGACTCATTCCCGCGGGTTTCGGGGAACTTATTTCCGCCGTATCTGTAATATCGGGACTTATTCCCTTAACTTCCTCTAGCTGTGGTTGCGCAACCACAGCGAGATCCTCTACGAAAGACTCTCCAGTCGATCTAGGATTATCGTTTCGCTTAACCTGAGCGATCGATTGTTTCTCTTCTAGATGTTCCCCGCTAGGGATACATCTTTGTCCCAGTCCACCCGACTTATTCGAGTGGTGGACCTTCGGCGCAGACTGTGTTTCCTCACAGCCGCCGGAACTTTGCTCCGAAGTGTAACCGTTTGGTACACTAAGGTTTTGTGCAGTCGTACTAACGACCGTACCACAAGTGAGGCCATCGCACTCACTCGTAGTACATCCACACGCTTGTGGACGCTCCAAAACGTTCATCAGATGGCCATCTGATGAACAAGCGGCAGGCATCGTTACTGTTCGATGTTGCCAGTTAACCCGTGGTTCGTACCTTCTGAGCCACGGTATTCCAAGGATGACATCAAATTTGTCATCCAAATCCAATACGATTAAGTCATCGTCATATTGGGTATCTTCTAGCGCATAGTGGATCTTCACTATACGCTTCATGACGGTTACGGATGCGCCTGTCGCAAGACGTACTGTCATAATCGACGGAGGTGTGTCACATTCACTGAACTTGAAGTGACCATCTTCTAGCGATTGGCGTCGCACAAAATTGTTGGACGCCCCACAATCGACTAGAGCTCGAAGGGACAACTTATTTGTCACTTCGAGTTTCAAGGTAATGAGTGAGATCTCATTACCTAGAGCAGCAACGCACAACGTTTGTGTGTTGGGAGCAACCTTCATCAAGAGGCCCACAAATTCTCTTGACGTTGCTGGACCAGTAGGGTGCTCCGCACCTACTGATCCTGTCCGTTTTTTGACGGTCCATCCCGTTGTTGCGTCTGTGCACCAACAGCGGACCCACGTCCCTGCCCGTTTCTCATGGGTGGACGGTCACTACGCCCAGTGTTGCGAGACACTGGACGAGGGGCACTACACTCGTAAGCGTAGTGCCCTGTCTTCTAACATCTGTTGCATTTCTGGAACTTCTTGTAGTCTGTAGAGCGAGCCTTCTCGCTCTCTACATAACAGAGTTCCATCGGCTCTGGACCTCCGTTGTCATATCGTCTCGGTTGAAGATATGATGTCGAGCTGGCGCGAGCCTGTCTCAGACTGAAGTCTTCCTGTTCCGCAATGGAAATGGCTTGTTCTAGTGAATCTAGTTCAAGTTGGAACAGGTGAGTCTTGACGGGACCATCCGCAAGACCCTGCATGAACACCGAAACCAACGTGTGTTCATCCACCGGATTGGAACTTATACAACTCGTGAGATGTCGTATATGTTGAGCGTAAGCGTGCACATCACGCTTACCCTGCTTGAGCTTCAAGAGTTCGGTTCGAGCTCTGAACTCAGCTCTAGGCGGTTCAAACGTTTGTCTGAGCCGCGACTTGAAGACTTCCAACGACCCAAACGCGTATGGGTCGTGCAGCTTGAGCCCCAGTGCCCAAGTCTTGGCACGTCCTGCCAGATTTGACTGGGCAAATGCAACTTGCATATCCCCGTCGTCGATGCGACGCGCCCTTATGGCGTCATCCAATTCGACGAACCATCTCAAGAGGGAGTCTTCTTCGACCC